AATAAAATAGAAAAAAATCATATTTAAATTGTTCGCTTTATTTTAATAATAATAAAACAGCGGAACACAATGAATAATATTATAAATCCATGTAATATTGAAGTTTAAACTGTCTACGAAACTCGGGTCATTTACAACTGATTGAGTGCGACCTCAGTAGTTCGTCTGCGACACTGTTGCGCGATGTACTATACGTACCTATGTGAAACGCTTTTGCAGCAACGATATAATATATAATATACGTATAATATGGCAGTATTAGGTTAGGCAAGGTCGGTCGTTCAACAATATATTATATGCGCTGCACGTTACAATCGAGGGGAAATTGTGTAAACAGCGGATGGTCTAAATTGAACCGATCGTTCGTACGGTAGGCGACAGCACTACACAAGCGTTTTAATAATGAGACCAAACGTCTTGGCGTAACCGCGTTTTACGGATAAAACGCTTAAAAAACAGACCGACGTAGGACATATATTTTTATTTCTGCGGTCATAAAAATACGATTCTGGCAAATTCGTCCCAACACTGCGCCCCGTCGTCTATAATATGGACCTCAAAATATTATAGCATAGATCGTAGTTGCGCACGGCGGCGGCGATGGGTATCGTGCAAAGTTCTAGAAGTCTAGAACAATAAATTAATTACACTCGACTCGTTGATTGGTTTACATTAAAATTTTAGTGGATTTCATAATACATTGGACGTACCTATAATATCGAACGGCCTTAGTAAAAGTGTTGTGCTACATAATACGACCGGCCGTTCTGTCATAAACCGACGAGTGCGACTCATAATACTGCAATCGATAATATTTCTACGACAAATAATTTGTAAATAGGCGACGGAGACTAATTTTTGTACTCTTCAAAAAACAATTGTTAACCAATAACCATAGCAAAGTTAGATTATTTTACCTATAGGCAATATTTTTGTATATGATCTACTTTTTTTACTATAAATATTTTGTCGTCACACTTTCACTTACATAATTATAATATTGCTGACAATATATATATATATATATATTATATTATTATTACGAACATCGAGTGATGAATTTTATATAATCAAAACAAAAAACACTTTGATCAAAAAAAAAAATTATTATGGTCCGCAATAGGTACCGTTTATATAATAATGTGAGATAATATATATGAGTTATGATATTTTTAACCATCTTCGGTACATACGTAGCTTATGAGGATTAAAAACATAAGTCTCTTGAGCAATGCTCAATGTTCATTCAAAAGACAATGCCAAATGTGAAATGTAAGTATTAAAAATTGGGGACGAATGCTACTATAAGTACACTACTCGAAAAATGGATAAACAAACATGAAAATCGTCCGAGTTAAGTGAGAGAATTCATGGATTGGTCATTGATTATTGCTAAATTAACGGAAAATTGTACTAAAATATACTATATCATCAACGAGAATCATCGTGCAATCATGATGCGAATAAAAGTAATGATATTTATATAATTAATAATTATAAGACACCGAACAATAGGGAAGATATATTTGTGGCTATTATTATTATTATTATTATTATTATTGTTAACGTTTTAAGTACCTACCCACCTATGTCATTTCAATTGTTTTTTTTTTTATCTGCTAAGCCTCGAGAAAACACGGGTATTATGTGATTTTTATTCTAGTTTATAGTTTGGTGTATAGTCAATTAATATCAAAAAACATGTGGTCACATTTTTGAATAATTATTTGGAAAATACGGAATTATTATCGAAAGAGATAACCTGATTATATTTACACAACGTTAATATGTTGAACAATAAAAAATAAAAAACCAAACTAGTTTTTTTTTAAATTACATAGAATTCAGTACTTTTTTATAAGCTTACATTATTTAAATTACAAACTAAAAAAATTAAATTGAGCTATAATACTATAATGACCATAATTAATAAAATGCGGAATCACCAATATGCATGGAAAGCGGAAGCGTTTTGAAATATATAATTATTGGTGATTTTGCTGTAAATCAAAAAAAAGTTAATACATCAGGTACAGAATTAAAAATTTCACTGATTATTTACACATATCTATTATAGCATCGTATCAAGCAGAAGAGTTGGACGATCAAAAGATTTTGATTTATTTAGGTCCTGTATATAATTTAGATTATTATAGGAATTTTTTATGAGCTTGTCTTTATTTTATAATATTATAATATTCAATATTAATTGTATATTTACTCAATAATTTTGTTTTATTACCAATTTAAATTTAAACAAGTCTTTTAAATATTCTCCATAATTTCACTCCAATTATCTATCATATATTATTGATTTCAGATTAAAAACAGGCGAATGAGTAACGTTATCTGCATCTTGCTTGAACAGGTACTTTGTTCAACATAATTATATAAGTATAATTTAGTAAAAATAAAATTTTAAAATGTCTCCTAAACACGAGTTTATTTTATAAAATACAATAATTTAAAAACAAAGTACAAACAATATACACGAATACCAAAGATTGCATCGGTGAATTCTTAATTATAATAATATATTGACCGTGTATAATTTAATAATGTAAGAGAAAATATTTTAAATCAACGTTTTCATATCACGTATACCCACAAAGGTCCGCAAACAAAAGCCCGCAAAATACCGACCGTCAGCCCACACATTCATATTATGTACAGGTACTTAGCTGTCAGAATTATTGATGTTTAGAAACTACTAAATTGGTATGCAAATGCCGCACATCGGTGTGACAAATTTTAATGATTTCGACGGTGTGTGAGGTATATTAATAAATTTCTGAATACGTCTCGAACGAAATTAAAACAAAACATACTACCCATACACGTATGTATATTGTATATACACACACACACACACACACCGAAAACGGTTAATGACTGACACGTTGCTATAATGATGACTAAGATGTAGCAACATAAAATATCGTCAAAGAATGAATAAGATCCATTAAGATTTATTTCACGCATTTATATTAAATCGTTTCGACGTATTAATTACTATAATTTTAGAGCATCGATGGTTAGAATACAATTCCGTTAGCCATCGTCGAAGACTACTTTTACAACTTCGTTCTACTTGTATTGTATACATGTATGGTTACACATACTATTTACATATTTATACGAGATCAATCGCCGATAAAAAACCGTTCGGTTGAAGTTTGATTTTTCTAAATAGCACTTATATTGTATACCTATACCGACAATGTGTGTCAATATAATATGATTATAAATTATTTCACGTGCAGACTGATCCTAATCGAAATACTATTCTTTAAACTTCAAACGCACTTAGTTAAAATTAATGAACAGACAGTACTGCCAAAAACAAATCATCGTCGTCGAACGATATCATCATTTATATTAAAATTACATATCGTAAAGAACATTATATTTTCGTTAATTATTTTACTATAATTTTAAGTACGGTTTTATTAGTTTCAAGCTGGAAAAATATTCTCAAGGATGCTGCAGAAGAGATTCATATGTTGTGAAATCATATATATCTGAAAAACAAATTATGCAGGTATCTGTATAGGTGCATCTAATTTTTTTTTTTAAACATGCCTTTAGAAATTATATAAGGTGCCTACATTTAAACAACACCTGGGCACTCTAAACAATCGCTACTAAACCGTTGACATGCTTCGAGCGTTCCATATCGTAAGCGGTATCGATTTTGAAGACGAATAAGCGGTGACCTAACGAATTTTTTCGACAACCAAAATCAACGACTGAATCGAATTGCATCCAACAAACACAATACCTATGCATTTACGACTCGCGACTGTTAACGATCTCGGAGTATTTTTTATTTCTCACGAAATTAATGTTATGAGATCTTGTACTTTTGATCAATCTGCACCCAATTGTGGGCATGGTGAACTGCACCACATGTAACCTAGGTACGTATGACCTGATGCGATCGAAAAATCGCGTTTTACTAATAATAATGCAATTTATTCTATAGTGGGTAAGTTATATTATGATGTATAACCGATGACGCATTGTGCATAACAATCGCATTATTACAATCAAACGATTCACATAATTTTATTGTATGCAGGGCGATTCGTATCAAGCACGCTCACTTCCAATGAGTTATCATCGGAATTTACTCAAATTATGATTTTGGGAATTTTTGAATATCACAGTTAAGGACGAATTTCAAGAGATGGCTGTACAAACTTTCTTTCAGATCAACATTGCATCCACGCATCTTCCAAACCCATTCACACGAACTCGTATTATCCTCTAAATAATATTATTTACAAAGAAAAAGGAGGTTCTCATAATATGTTGAGCAACAGGAGTTTATAGATGTCTCCACATGACCCCATAAGCACTAGAAAATATCTCAATAATTCGATTGTACCGTCTATTTAAATGATTATTTGAAAAATTCCACCAAAAATCAGATTTTGAACAGGTGCAGCGTATCATAATACCAAAAAGGGTGTCTGCTCCGCGGTCTGTGATGTAATATATCATTCTACCGACGAGCGAGAGTGTCGCCGTCGCTGCAGTGACGAACGCCACGGATTGCGATCGTTCGTCAATGTCCGCCTCCATTACGGTGGATGACGTGCACGGAAAAACGAACGGCGATAAAAATACTTCCCATAGCGGACGACGATCCGCGGTTCCAAAGCGTTTCCGGTCGATGTGAAGTGTAATGACATTGTACGGTAACGGATTTAGACGCTGTAAGACATGACGTGCGATGCGTTTCCGGACAGCTGCAGAAATGGACGAAACGGAAAGTGGCAGAAAAGGAAACGGTCGTCGTCCGAGACACATGGGCCGCCTTCGTTGCGTAATATTTATGAGCGCGCGCGCCGATAGCCGGGAGCACGTGGTAACCGGCAACTTATCCCCTCCCCGTCCCACCACCATCATCGCCGACGCCGCCGCCGCCGCGGTCACTACCAGACGGCGGCGGCGGCGGCGGCGGCGGCTGTTGCAGCAATCGCGCGTGCACGTACCGGGTTGGATGCTGCCCAACGACACGCTACTGAACCGACGGTCGCAACCTCCGCCGTCGTAATCGTCGTCGTCTCCGTAGCCGTAGCCATCGTCGGCGTCGTCGTTTTCGTTTTCACCTCCGCCGTTGTCCATCAGCAGACGGTTCCAGGCAGCCGCGTCGTCGTCGCCGAGAGCCGGGCCGGACGGTACCGCCGACTTGGACTGCGGCGGCGGCGGCGGCGGCGGCAGCGGCGACGAACGGTCTGTCGACGGTTTGCCGCCGCGCACGGCCGCCGTCAGTCCGTTCTGCTGGTTCTGCCGGTGCCGTTCGATGAGCATCGTGTACTTCTCGACCAGGCGGCACACGGACGGAAACGGCGGCGTCGCCTGTCGCTGATCTCCGCTGTACACCGCCGCCGCCACGGCCGCCGCGCCGGTGCGCCTACCGCGGCGCCGCAGACACTCGTCCGCCATGAGTCCTCGCCGTTCCCGGTGCAGCGCCTCGGCCACGACCACCACCGCCGCCGCCGCCGTTCGCGCGACGGCGACGACGACGACGACGACGACGACGACCACAACCACCACCACCACCAACACAACCACCACCGTTGCCGCCGCCGCTGCAGGTACGACGTCGCGGGACTAGGACTCGGGACATCGGTCCGACCGCCGCCGCCGTAGCCGACCGCCGTGGCCGCCGGCACACATATACGACCGCCGCGCACTTTCTCCTTTACCGCCGCCGATCGCGTGTTACGAGACTCGCACGTGCGAGGGCGAAATCCGTCGCTATGTTAATGTCGCGGGTCACAATCGCTCCGCGGCAGATAATCGGACGGGAAATCGAAAATATTATCGGGGTTTTTATTTCATTTTTCACCTCGTTTTTCGCTGGTCTATCCGTGTATGGGGGGGGGGGGATGTCGAACACACTAACGCACAGACGCTCCCCTTGGCCCAGTACGATCGTAGTCGGGAGATATACGCGAACCGGGGGGACTCGCGTGCGTCGACGGAAAACGGCCGGAAAAATGACGCATATGCGCGCGTAACCGGTGTATCGGCGGTACTGAATGGTCTGAATGCGCGCGCGTGTTGCACGGCGACGACGGCGAACCAGTTTCACCGGGCCGCGGTGTTTTGCGAAATCGGACAAGGAGACGGCGCGAGAGCGCGCGCGCGAGCTCGGCGGCGGCGACGGCCCGAGGCGATGCCGATGCAGACCGATCGCCGACGACAGCCGCACCGGCGGCGACCTTGAACGGCGGTTCTCGGGGAGGTGTCACGGCGACGGCGGCGGCCACCACCGTTCGGCGATACTTTCGAGAGGACCGCAAACGAAGCTCGTTTATTTATTTATTTGATTAATACGGGCGGAAACTCGGGCGAAGAAAATTTCAAGATTTTTTAAAACGTTTACGACAGTTATGTGCATTGAAAAGACGGATAGACGTGCGGCACGTAACAGTTGTAGGTACTCGGCTTATTTTCAAAGTACAAATACTAAGACTCAGTATTAAATCAATACTTAATATTTGGAATGTTTGAAAAATACGTATGATTTGAACTATTAGAAATCGTTTCATATCATGTAATTACGTAATCATTTCTTAACATTAAACTTAAATTCGTCACGCCGATAGAATCTAAAACACTCAGTACTGATGTGGATGTCTTACTGGCCAATAGAGTAAAGGACTGGGAAAAAAAGAATCTTCTCCATTGATCTTACGTATACCCAGTGGTTCTTGACCTTTTTAGAATGACCGCAAACAGTTAACATTTTGTACGATTATTGCAGAAAACCACAGTAAAATAAAACAGTATTAATTTAAGATGCAGCATACGTTTTTAAATCTCATAATGTATTCAACAATGCTCACATAGCAAAAAACCGTTTACATACCTACGTATAAGTCACTAAAAAATAACGAACTTGGTAAATATACAATTTAAATAAATTTCACAATTTCACCGATTTCAAAATGTCGGCTTAACACGTCTTGTATTCTAAGTCCACTGAACACCGGTTAAGGACCACTGCGACCTAGTGGGGGATAACTAACCAAATAGATTATTGTTTCACAGTTAAGCACCGAGCACAGAAAATGTATTCGATATAAGTATACCTGCACATCGAAGTGCAGTATTTCAATATATTATGATAACTAGGGTTCGGATTTGAAGGCAATATAATCAATAAAAAAAGCATTTAAAATGTAAAAAAAGGCAAAAAAAGGCATTTAATTTATATCAAAAGGCAATTCATAAATATACTACAAAATAAAATAGTGAACATTTTTTAAACACTTTCAAATGCACACATTTTGAGAAAAATACAAATTAAAAATGAGCATGAATACTAAACTACATTAAGTTTATGCTATTTTGTATAAATAGATTAGGTACCTTTTTTTAAAACCAGGTTTGTCCTAAGAATTAGTTAAAAACAATTTTAAATATTAACTTACTTGAGTTATACTAGTTAATTTAATGCAAAATAAACTAGTTGGTATTAAAAAAAAATTGACTACCATGTATTGTGATAAGCTGTCTTCAGAAAAATTAGGGGTTAAAATATTTTTGTACATCGAAGGTTCTGCGTCCACCGAAGTTATCGGGGTTATTTCATACTTAAATAATTATCTAAATTAAGATTGCAAATTGATAGATCGTCATCGCTTGTGGTTTCTCCAATCAATACTTGGTTGATCTTTTTGATATTTTACCATCCCTTGTTCTTCGATATAACTTTGTTGAACCTAACCAAATACTCGATAAGATGATATCGATTAATATTGCGAATAATAAAAATCATTTGTAGCGATAATACTCAAGCTGTGTATACAATTATAAAATCAACTAAAAAATTTAACACAAAATAGGCATTTATGAGTACAAAAGGTAAAAAAGGCAAAAAGGCATTTATAAGTAAAAAGGCAAAAAAAGGCAAAACAAAAAAAGATACATCGTCTAAGAAATTAAATGAAACACATTTTTGTATAAAAATTATTTTTCTATTGTGATTAATAAGAGAAAGGCATTTGCCTTCAAATCCGAACCCTAATGATAACCTATCGAACCACATTATATCTTGGAAGTATTGCTATTATAACTCCTCGATTGACCGCCATTAATATTGTCGCGATTTAATTTGTATGAGTAAGTTGAACTATACACGGTTTGACAGAGCGACCGTGCCTCCTCCCCCCGCCCTGACCATCGCCCTAACCATTTTTGATGAATAATATGATATTATAAAAAAAAATTCCTAGAACAAATGAAAGTTTTCGATTGGACTTTGACAGTTGGACACAATAATTATAATATAATATTATAAGTAGGTACCTCATACACAAAAATAAGTTGTCTGCGATAAATTAATATACATAAGATGTTGTTAAAAATTTTAATAATTTCAGCGGGACGGATGAAATTGCGTTTAATATTCGATATCTGGCCATGTCCCTCCCCTTTAAGAAATTCTGGCTGCGCCACTGGTATAACTGTGTGTACAATTATGTATTGTGTTTCGATGTGGAATAAAAAACTATTCGAGCACTTGATCGTTTGATATTATAAGCTCCGTTAAGAATGGCTAATGATTTTTGATTTTTTTCTTCGGATCAAATCGACGTAGATACCTACTACGTTACGGCAGACCCTTATAGTTGTAAGTCGATGAAGGTTTTCACAATATGAGCACTCAATACATATATTATGAATGCTTTGAAGTATATACGTTGTTCCAGGTACATTGATACATCTAAGGGCACACGTAAGACTTCGGTGAGGTTTAGCGGAGCAGCTATACAGCTGGCAATAATAAAAATATTGTTCGTGAACAGTGTATAATGGTTAAATTATTGTTACAATAATAATATTATGTACCTTTATAATAATAATAATATATGAGTCGTGTATAGTGTGCACACACGGCGGTAGCGAATGCGATCAACACGTTTTAATACAACTTTAATTTATGTAAATATAGGTGATGTTATACACACTATCCAACTATCTAAATGATAATAAGTTTACGTAACGAACATTGAGGAACCGCCGTGGTATAACATAACATTATAATATTCGAGCATGAATAATAATTTCTGACGTAGGTACCTATACCTACATAAACGTATATTACATTATTATTGTTCATCATTTGGAAAAATCATATTATGCGTTCAATATCTATACACTTTACTTTGTAGCTACGGGTAGGTATATCCTCTATATTCGCTATATTACTTTGTAAAGCGTTTTACTGCTTCAGTGTATCATACTCGCATTCAGTTTAAATGACTTCAACACTTATTATAAACCAACCTTAAATAGTAAAATGTATTAAAATATTATAAGTTTTTATAGGTGTTATAATAAACCATAAATGCTTCGAGCCAACAGAGCAGACCGTGTAATTGACAGCGTATAATGTACAGTTGAATATCTATTTGAATTTTCTATCAATAATTTTTTTTCGATGTCGGTATATTTGGGGGTAAAAAAATGTCCATACGCCTAACTGCACACCGTCGGTCCTAAGGTTATATCGCATCACGCCAGAAGTTTTCTTGTCACCGACTACAATAACATTTCCCGTTTCAAATTATTCAATTTATATTATCGATTGATTATTTTTTTTTCTTTAATTTTGATAACATATAACGAGGGGTTACAACCAAACCCATCAAGACACGTCACCATAGTCACTGTTTAGTTTAATAGCCATTCTATGCTTCATGACGAGACTACCCAATACATAAATATATTTAAGCATATCGGAATAATATACACGAATTACTGATCAGATGTATTTTGATTGATGTTTCATTAAAAGATTAATATTGAATACATATTGTTTTTATAAGATTTAACTATCAAATTGGTATGGGCAATACAGATATTATATGAGTTAGTTAACCATAACATTTTTACCATTTTTACAGTTACTTTCAATCCGATTTGAAAGTTAATTGATAAACGATTAACTTAGTCGAAACATTCCAAGCAGTTGTACATAATGCAGTAAATACTGAAAACCATAAAATTAATAGATCATATTAATATCTATTATCTCGTGGTATTTAGTTTGACAGTAGGTACTTAATAAGTAATTACGAATAACATATCAATTGATAAGTATATTTATTTTTAAGTGCTAAATAAATTATTTTTTTTTTTTTTGTGATTGAAATGAAACTTCGTTTTACAATGTACCACTCTACTAGTTACCTATACAGTGGATAAATTTCAGTTCAGAGTATAGACTTCCATAAATATGTCTCTTCACTTATAAATTTTACTAAATATATTTAACACACCCACTTTGAGTTCACCTAATGTAGACAATGTAAGGTACTCGAGTTGTAGTGACGTTTTATTCTTTTGCACTCTCAAACATGTAATATATTATGATGCCTATACGGCTATACTACTGATATGATTATCTCAAATAATAGAATATTATTATGAAAAAATATTTAAAATAAAAACCGTATTCCATACATATGTATATGATGTATATTTCATATTAGGTAAGTTGATTTTTTTTTAAACTATAAATGAGAAAAATATAAGCTAAAATATACAATAGAAAGTTTTCAGTTTTTCACTTGATTTTTTACCTTAATTACACCATAACCTTTAAAATATAATTCAGTTAATTTAGATCTCAATGCAGTTCTATGGTAACAAATTGTAAACAAATAATAATCTGTTTTTTGATAAATTTAACATAAGTAATAGGTATTGGATAAATATACACTGCGTAACAAATTGTACAAAAGAAATTATTAAAATGTCTTACAATAAATCAAAATTACAAAAAGAGTATAAAAAAGTATTCAATTCGTCTCAAAGGTCGGTAATATAATACAATATTATATCCATATAATATGAAGTTAGAATTTGAATCCTTTGGTTTTTTTTTTTTTAACAAGTCTTAATCAATAACCAAACAATAATATTGTTATGTTATGAATCATTTAAAATTGTTATGGATTAATATAATATGTTTACTGTATAGCTAACTACGTTAGCATTAGGAGTATATTTTTTTTTTAGCAAATAGTACTTTTCTTAGCTCATTAACGAATTCGACATGTCAATAATTACAAAATTAAGTATATTCAACTTCAATTAAAGTTTATGTCATAACTGTCGGAGCATATTTTACAAACACAATGTAGATACGTGTATCATAACAATTTTTTACTTTTTATGTGTAAATGTGCAATTATGTAAGATATGTATATTATATATATATTATAATATTATATTATATATATATATATTATATGTTATCAAGCATCTAATTGTATCCACTATCCAGACATTCTTAAATATTTATTTTATTGAGAATACACTATAATAATGGACAACCGATCATTGAATTAGGTATGTCATGACTCATGACCATTGAATACTGAATACTGAAAATCATAGATACTAGAGTGACATGTTGCTTAAACATAGTGTTTTTTGTTTATGTCGGAAAATATCGTATTTTGGAAAAACATAATATTTGAGTATGAAATACATTTACAATTATTTTAACATAAATAATATGTTTTTGTGTGGCTGAGTACGGATATTTTGAATTTCTGACTCTAGCCGATTTTGAGTGACGCTTTGTTATTTGCCGTAGAAACGATGAAAATCAACAATAACAATATTATATTGTATTTTTATAAACATATATTTTATGATTTATACATTTTCTTCGAAATTGAAAATAATACCGAGTAGAGTGCTACTTTATTTTATACTTTTTAGGTTTGCTTGATAATTCTAGTTTTATAATTTAGAACAAAAAAACTTATAAGAAAAGTCAAATAGTTGTGGCAGTGACAAGTAGTTGTGTGAAAATCACTTTTGCGCTGAAAGGGGTTTAAATTAGAAATATAGTTACAAACTTAGTGATTTGTTTCAGTCCAGTCTTATTTACTAACGCTACTATTAATTGCATTCTAAGACTTAAATTAAATTAATTAAAACTAAACTGTATTATAATATATAATATAATATTTTAGTTAAAACCTCAAGTTATTAGATAGACGTGCACTTTTGATTGTGGTTTAAAAAAAAGATTCATTCTGTTTGAATAAGTACACCATTTTATGTTAACATTCCGTACACAACTCAAAAATCAAAGCTAATAAAGCAGTTCAGTATAAGTTATAATAATAATTATGTCTCGCTTTAAAAATAGCCGAAATACTTAAAAAAAAAAATATATATATACATTAAATTATAGAGCATTATTTTGTGGCATTCATTAACGTAGTTTTAAATGTACAAATATTTAGGAAAGACTCTGAGGTGGTACAAGCAGATCGAAGTTCATTATCATTAAATAATCGGCTTGTTTGGATACCTGGAAAATCAAATACTTGTAAGCATAACAATAGTGAGAGTATAATTAAATTATCATATTACTATACTATATATTATTATTTCATACATATCAAAAATTTAACAAGTAATTTAATGAGATCATCCGGTGGGTTTCTTTGATCACAAAATGAAAATATATTTATGAATAATTTGGAAACACTTTTGATAGTAGACATTTTTTTTTTTAATGTATTCTTAGCTTACAGTAATAATAGAAAAATAAACAATTCGTCTACAAGATCGACTCAGTATGGCGAGACCACGGATAATTTGAATCATAATAATGTCTTGAAAACAAACAATACTTATACCATCATTAACATTGCATTCAACGGATCATCACAAGAAGTAAGGCAGTACACCATAAAGTTATAAGTAGGAATTTTTACATTTTTTGCGACAGTATCAGTTATGTCTAAAAAAAAACTGTTAGTTATTACTCAGTAATTGTATTACAAATACTCATTAAATCTGAAATATAAGAATTTGTTTTCTTTTCCAATAGTATATTATTATACTATTTATATTTACTTTAGAAAGTACCAATTAATTCATTGGCAGAGACAAGACAAGTTATTGTTCTTGATCGACCACAGAAGAAAATTGCAACCAAGAAAAATGATTGTTATTTGGTAAATAGTAATCACTTATTATAACTTATGAATTAAATTAAAATACTCATTATTTATATTGAATATAGTATGATATAATAAGATTGGGTTCGCACATAAAATGTGAAATTAATTTAGAATTTTTTTTTTAATCAACTAACAATAGCAATCATCAATGCAATTATGTAGTTTTATATAAATTAAACAATCCATGTAATGTTTGTATTTTTGTAAAGTGTAGCTTTATGTCTTTTGAGAGATTCGGAGCATTGATTTAGTTACAGTTTTTGCTCAAATGAGATCAGAGGCTGAGCTGTGGTAACATGTATAGGACTTAACAACAATGTATAATACAGCCGTTATTTTCAGACTTGCGTGGAATGTTTTTTGATACGTAGAAGGGCTTTTTTTTATTAAACCAACAATTTTATGAGATTATTCATATTATTATTCTGTGAATTCTTAAATTTGGACCCCGTGTTGGTTTCAATAAAGTTTTTTGAAGGTTCAGCTTAGTGTGCCTCGAAGTTTTAATCGTGAGTTTAAGAAACATCTATATAATATAATATAAGTTCTAGAAAACGAGAATTTAGTTTAGGTTTTGTGTTGTGGAGAAGGTGCGTTCAAATAAAATTTATCGAACCGGATACCGAAGAGTGCATTGTAGTTGGTAAGTTTGAAATTAAAATGTTGTGAAATGTAACTCGTTGACAAATGTAGCTTTTGAGATAAAATATGATGTGACTTGATTTGCTTCGTTATTCTTTACATTCTAGTTTTGACACCAGATTTCAATAGGAGAAATATGTGATTGGACATAATAAGATACAGTTATTGGATTTTTGTGAACTGAGAGAATTGCTCTATCGTTAGAATATATTATATTCAGTGACAAGAATATAATAAGAAGAAGTGAGTTGATCAGATATACAAATGTTATATAGGAGAAGAGAGCTGTAATTACGCCTCGGGGAATTCTGGATTGTATTCTAGAAGTGTCTGAGAAGCAGGGGTGATATTGAACAAAGAAATGACAATCATTGACGTAGGATCTAAATTTAAAAGAGTAAGAAAAAGTAGGGGTATGCGATTTTCAATTTTAAAGAGGAAGCCTGATCAAACGCCTGTAGGATATCGATAATATTATTTATGGTATTGAAATTTAATACAATAGACTCGAGAGCGTCAGAGGAGCTCAGAATTCTTTTTGAAAAATAAAAATTAGATATAACAATAGAGGAACAACTGAGAAGGTACAAATTGTAATTAATTTGAAAAAAAAAATTAAAATATTGATAAAATAATTTATTTTACGTATAAAATATTCTGCAGAAAAAATCAAAACACTACACTGATGATTGTTCTTTGGCAGTAAAAAATGAACAAGATGTTATTGCTGTAACTAATAAATGCACAAATTCATCGGACAACTGTTCATTGATGGATTGCATAGAAGATGTGATTCAAAAGGTAAAATACAATGATATAAATAATTGTACAAAGGTACAAATAGTAATTAATCAGAAAAGAAATTGAAATATTGACAAAATAATTTGTTGTATGTATAAAATATTCTGCAGCAAAAATCGAAACACAACACTGAAGATTATTTTTTGGCAATAAAAAATGAACAAGATGTTATTTCTGTAACTGATCAATGCACAAAAACCTTAAACGACTGTTCAATGACAGATTGCATAGAAAATGCGATTCAAAAGGAAAAAAATAATGAGTTTGAAATAGGTTTTTTAAATAATCAACAACAGTTTGAGATTAAAACAATAAGCATTTGAAGTTATCGCTGGAAGTTCAAAGTTGCAGCTGAATGGGGGGGGGGGGGGGATTTCAAAACAGCAAATAATATTATATATATTTGTTACTTTCATGTTTAATATTTATTTGATTACCAAAGACTAAAATGTATTAAATTAATTTATTTTATTTATACTTAGTACCTAAAAATATTACCTACATCATGAGTCTCGACACAACTCACCTTCTATAGACGAATGACATATTCCTCGGTAAAGTGTAAACGAAATTTGGACTTATAAATATTCGAGTACATAAAAATTTAAAGATAATTAAACGTTCACGTAGTTATGATGATATGAAATGTGAGTAGGTACTACTAGTACTAAACCTTCTAGTTTCTAGTATAATATTTCAAACATATCATTGATAACGCGTCGTATTCACCAGATATTGGCGATTTCTACTGCAAATACTTTCAACATTATTGTGATACATTGATGATTTAATACAAAATATCCAAAAAAATGTTTTTCAAACCTAAAGTTATTTTATACATTGAAAGTTGTATAGCTTTAGATTGTTTTATAATAATTTATTGAACTGATATTTATTCGTAATAATGCATTTATATCATGTGTATATAAAACGAGGGACCAACCCACACGCCAAATTACATATATAATATTATAATCGAACAAAGTAACTAATACTTCACACATAAATCACAGCTAACCACAGAGCGTACAACATCAAAGTAATCTAAATCTTCTAACCGTTGTTACCTACTTATTAGTATTCAAATTGGAATGTCAAAATACAAAGTTAACGAAACAAAGCGTATCCATACAACATTTTCCCTTCGACGTATGCGTATTCATACCAAATAACTCACCCGACTCGATCATAATATTATATCTTACTAACTTTTGGTAAACGCTTAACCGAGGTAAAGCACGTAAACATACGATCAAACTAACATTAACCTATCCTAACCACGATTTATTTGGAATCCATGTACCGGGAACATTGAATAAAATATTAATAAGAATATACTTATTCTTACTCTATTTTATTTATCAAAGATTTGTGTTCAGTGTTATAGTTATTTGTAATTATAGGCGAACTACACCTGCACTGCAGAATAAATAAAAAATAAAAATAAAAGAGTTTGGAATCTTTTAAGAGTTCAATTTAGTCCAATATCGATGCGTAACTAAACTATACACAACGTTACCTCACCGATAATGAAGCGATTATAACTACCTAGTGAAATTAATTTAGGTACTAATAAGTAGGTAGGTACCTAGTTGAAATTACAGGAGTTAAGCCGTTTAATACTTACCTTAAAAAATCTTCAGTAATCAGTTTTTAAATTAATTTTAGTACCTGCTGAACTTCGAGGTCACAATCGCAAAAATAAATATTAAATACCTATTATTATTTAATCTTTGTATTATATTATGTTTTTTTTTTATGAAATGAGGTTACGTCACAATAAACCACTGACGTCTTACCAAAAATGGCAAATGAGATTTTATATTTATGTTTGTTATAAGTGCTGAATAATGTCTTTGTTATGACACAATGAATGAAAAATAAAATTTATTTTGATCTAGTGATAGTTACAAGAAGAAGAAATCCTACAAATATATGTAATTACAGTTGAACTTAAATAATAATGTTTTATGATTAAATATTTTTAAATACAAAATATGAAAGTGGAAGTTTGTATTGCAAAAATAATTCATACTATGATATTATCACCTTATATCGGTAAAAAATGTACCCTTTTACTTAAACTTAAAAGCAATTCAAAAATATATAATTATGTAAAAATAATAAAGTTATCATTTTTTTTTTACCTATACATACCTACCTATATATTATAATTTATAACATACCAATAATATGTATTATTTATTTAATTGTAATTTTATATACATTCAATGATATGGCTTAAAATAACTCATTTCTTTGATAAAACTAATATCCAAAAATTAGAAAAAATTGAGCATTTCTCGCTCGACTACCCAAAACATGGTCAGTAAAAAACTTTTTGAAAACTAAAAAAGGAAATTTATGCTAGTACATTACAACAAAGTAAAAATCCATTCATATGACTATTTGCACTTATGTCTATTTTCATATCATCTCCGATAATATAAGTGGTACAAGTAATATTTATGTAAATCCATAATATTATTATTTTATACACATTTTACGCACTACAAAGTAGAATATTTTGTCCATCCTAGTCGATATTTAGATTTCATAAAACTTTACAGGTACATTTTTAATAATTACCCAATATGTTGCAGCTATAGTACATAGCCCCGAACAAGAAGATTTGTTATCACAATAATGAACCTACACGCGAGAATAGTCTTAACAAATCAGAATTTCGAAGCTTACACACTTTTCCATCACAGTTGCCAACATTAATTCAATTAGAACAATATCAATATCATATCGGTCCTCTTCCTCGGCTACCGATACCACGCGGATACCATAATATATTGTACCAATGCGAATAATATTTCTCGTCTGGTGGCTTTGGTGGAAAAAAATAAAATAATGAAATACCCAATACCTATTAATAATTCAAGACGTCTTATACGGCGCGAGTCGGACGAATAACTTAATTTCCACCATCAACCTCGAACGCGTAGTAAGCCGACAAGTTTCCCAGTCCCCATGTGACCTACGACCCATATGACTATTGGTCGTAAAGTTTTGGCGCTTTCATTTCATTGTGTTTTCCACGAATATAACCGATATATAGCGTTTATGTGTACCTTCAATTCTTTTACCAGAAATCCCTCAGGCCGATGTTACGGGAAAAATTCGTCAGCGGTAGGTAATTGGATTTTAACGTTTACGACGCCAGCGTGTAAGTGCACCTGTGTGTGTGTAGAAAATATAACGTGTGTGTGTGTGTCTGTGAACATAATATACATTATACAGAGTGACTCGCCGAGCACGCTCGCCCCCTTTTTTCTCTTGGAAAATACGATTATTCGTCATCTGGAACACCCAAATAGACTTAATACCAAATTCTCGACGGTTTTTGTACTTCTCGATGAGACGAGTGTCTTGGGGAGACACAGGCTTCTGTTTTTCAAATCCCACTTTTCCACTGCAAATAAAATAATTATTTAGGTACTGAGTAATTTCGCTGAAAATGTAGAAAACGGAAACGCAGACGATCGTATCACCGCCGAGGTGCGACAAATCTCCGGAACTTAGAAATATGGCATTCAAGTGTTGAGTAGGTATATTTGACGTTTCCGAAACCGGGATTTCAACAAATTCGTTATAAGTTTTTTGAAAAACATGGGGTCTCGCATACTTGGTGGATCCGCGCTCTGTATATAGTTGTATGCGTAGAGTTTATTGGGTCGACACTCGATAAGCATATCGGAATAACACAAAACCCTCGTGTCACGTTCGTCGTCTTTACAATTATTTGTATTTGTACGAGCCAAACGCGTTTGTTGATACAACATCATATTATTCGACATTGTAGACATAGTACAATACCCTGCAATGCCCTCGTGTTGCTTGTTTTCCCAAAATAAAAAACCATACCTACGACAGTGCCGTTCAATGTGCCAAGTCAAATTCATTTTCGATATTTTTTTAGGGGAAACTAATGAGTACAGTGCCCATATTAAATTCGCGTACAATTTGAATCGAGCGATTATAGAATTTGGATGTGTTACGGTAGTGGTGGTGGTGAGCTGTATTTTAGCATTCGAGTAGGTAGTAATCTATCCTACTGGATTTCCAGAATCCAAGATACGTATGTAATCGGAACGAACACTGAGAACAGAATTTCTTAGAGGAATAATGTTCGATATATTATTACGGTTAACCTGCAACCGTTGAGCGGAATGATGGCTAAAATATTATTCAAGTAATTTTTGATTTCTAGGACGGCGAATAATACAGCATAAAAATGTATAATATTATGACCATAAATAATTGTATTAAATGTACGATTAAATAATTTGTCCTGATTTTCGAAACCTTGTGATTTGAAGTGGGCGCGTAGCAATGAATAAAATCACGTTTTGTGCCCCGTAGGCATTTGTTGATACCTATTTAGAATTTTATTTTTTTTAAAAAATTATTTTTTTTTGATTACCAATTTTGCCTACTAGGTATTTTTCGCCTAATAATTTGTAAGATGTATTTATAGGTGTTTTAACACTTTGAGTGCTTGACCAAATATGACAAAACTGACCGTTCTCACCGTTACTTTTTTTTTTTTAATGTTACTCAAACATGTTCTAGTTGGGAAAAAAACATTATTAGTCCACTTTTTTTCGAGTGAATCTATATTCATACACACGTGGCATAAATTAACATAATAGTGTCACTGAAAATATTCAACTTCCCCAGAATTATTATACTTTTCTAAAATAAGTGATTTTTCATAAGACAGTTTATTATTATTGATGGATCCTGCACAAATGAATTATTATGTTTACACATCACAAACTGTACTCAGAGAGTTAAGTACAGTAAAATTAATACCAGTAATGATTTCCAATTAATAGGTTTATAGTGTACAGCAAAAATATGGTTACAATATGACGTACCTATACAATAATATTATATCCGAATAACCTATTAATTGATAAGGTACTATGGTAACAGCGGACTCTGGTGTCAGGGTAACTACAATCTATAGGTATCTTGAAAAAAAAAATCCTTTCAACCTCTCATAACACAATAAATTATTCTCGATAATTCAAATTAATTAAATCCCATTGAGCACTTACTATAAGCACCAACTATATTAAATTGATACCTAATCTTAATTATGTTGAACGAATAACTTTATTTGATTAAAACAGATTTAGTTGCTACAGTTAAATTTATTACGAGAAATGGACATAATTTGATTGGATTATTATTGAGTAATTTATACTTTGATACCAATTAATTAAATCTCTAATGTTATATTTACACTTGTGTATTAAGTACATTAACGATGTAAAAGGACAATTATTGTTATTTTCTAGAATTGAAA